TGCTTGTTTTATAAACTTATGCTTTGTACTGGTCTATGACTGTAATAAATAAAGATTGATTGATTGATTGATTGATTGATTGATTGATTGATTGAATGTCAGACAGCCTTGTCTATAATTCCTTTGTCCTACTTTCCTCCACCTTTTTTTTGAAGACATGGACAACTTTAGCTCTCTAGTCCATATGGCCATTCATTTATTCTCAGATTGGTTGAAAGTTATTAATTGGGATCAGTAAAAAAAAACACTGAGTCCAACAAATGAAAATAATAATTTGCCAGTTATCATTTGTCACCACTGCAGTTGAGACGGGGGTAAAATATTGGGGTTTTTTTTCCTTATTCCTTTTTATAACCTATATTCTGCAGGAAGAAGCTGAAATACAAGCAGAACTTGAACGTTTGGAAAGAGTTAGAAATCTTCATATACGAGAACTCAAAAGAATAAACAATGAAGATAATTCTCAGTAAGCTTCTGGATTTTAATCTTATATATTCATTCTCTCAGGTTTTACTGGCTTTGGAAAAAATATGACACAAAAATAAGCAAAACATACTGTTACTCTACTTAGCCAGTTTTTGGCTTTCTTTTTCTCTCTTGTTTTTCTAGAAATGAACATAAAATAACACAAAATATATTTTAATTTCCTAAAGTAATTTTGAGCATTTTTTTTTGTTAAAGAAGCAGAATCTATTTATAAATGATGAATTTGAAAAATGGAAAATGTGATTTTTTTCATTTCCATTCCTTCCGTCTTAAAACATCTCTAAATAATGCAGGGAGCAGAAGCTTTTTACCTCACATCCCCCCCCCTTCAAGATACTTGAAAATCCACTATTAGGAGATTTAACAAGCCAATTCATTCCTTTTTCCCTTCCAGTACCCCTACCCCATTAAATTCTTCATGACCTGAAAGTTTGTGGAATAGTTCATAATAATTAAAAAATACTTCCAATTTCTTTTTATATATCTCAGGAGTCCTCTGAAGTAGAAACTAATATCTTATTTTCAGATAGTCCTCGTTTGCTACCAAACTGACTTGGCATTTGACCCCCTGTGTTTAATTTTGGTGGGAATGGCTCCTCCTTTCATGTAAGAATTGGATTAAGTCTCCTGTTGTTTTTATAGAAGGGATGACCCAAGGCAATGATTATCTGAGATTTATAGAATAAAGAGCCAAACCTACGGCTGTTGTACATCTTGGTAAATCTTGTGTTTTTATGTAGTGTGAATATTGTCATTCATGGATCCCACATTCACTGCTTATTCTTGAGTAAAAACAATTCATGAAGCAGTTATATGGGAACCCTTCTGTAGTGTCTTAAATGTTTACATTAAAATCCAGTTAGGAATTTCATTGGCCTGGAAACAAATCTGAACTGACTCACTGCTTGTTTTAAAAATCTGTTTTTAAAAGTACCAAGCACAAAATTAATAAAGCAATACAGTCTTGGGAGGCAGTGAACTCTCCTTCATGCAAGGTGTTCAAACAGAAGCTGGAGAGTCATTTGTCAGGGTCCTTCTTAGTTGACGATAGTCCTCTTTCATCCCACTGCACTTGGTGAGGGGTGGGGCGTACCTCTTACTGTCTCCTCAGTTCCCTTCACCTCCCACAGTAGTAGTAACTTTGCAAATATTTTCTGAATGATCCTTTCAAGTAGTTGTTGAATTTCTCTGTTACTTTCATTTTGTTTATTCTTTTTCATTTTACTTCAGTGATTCATTAGCATGAATTCATTTTGACTTTTTTCCCCCTCTGAGTTGCCTGAACTACTGGGGGGTTTAGAAGTTCAAATATGTATGCTCTTGAGGGCCCCATTTTAGAAGTGTATAAGTGGCAGCAGATTAACCCCCTCTAGTGAAAGTTTTGTGTGCTTGAGGGAATGGGCGCAGTGTAGCCAGATGCCATTTGAGGATTAACTTAGGATTCCTTCTCATTTTTAAACAGAGGGACATATGCAAGTGCATATTAATGTGATCCACGTTGGGCTCCCTGCTTTATTCGAGATGAAAATAAGTGCTTACACCTACAGTAACTAGCTTTCTTCTTTTTTCTCCTTTTTTTCCCCTTGCTTGTTTGAACTTTTATTATACAGTCAGGTCCAGAAATATTGGGACAT